GGCACGGGGGAGCCACTATTTTGGGAAAAAGTTTTCTGGGCCGCTCGTCAACCCCAGCCAGCGGGATGCTGATCTTGTTTGCACCAGCGCGAATGCCGCCTGGCTCCCTCGATGTCCGGGCGAGCCCTCTGGCCGGACGCCCACGGAGCGAGGCTCGGAGTCTGGCCCGAAGCATTTGAAATATGCCTCCCCGCTTGCTCAGAGCGTCAATCCTTCCTTAAGTGGGCAGGAGAGCTGAGCCGCGGAGCTGCCCCGGGCGCGATTGCAGCGTCCCGTGTCACTCCGAGGGGGGAAGGAGCCCTTTGCCTGGCCAGGGTAGCAGATGCTGCAGAGTAAAACAATGATAATAATGGTGGTGAGAGCTAAAAATAGGCTTTGTGTCGCTTCTGTCATTGGCTCTGCCTCCAGCATTTGGAAATTGGTTTGGAAAACCTTGATTTCTCTTCCAAAGGCCCCAGCACCACACTGCCACCACGTTTCAGCCACAGCAGGAAAAGTTTTCATCCGAAGACTGCTGAAATAAATTATAAATAAAAAGTGCTTGGCAAGGAGAGGTGCACGGCAGCAGGCACAGCTGCCGCAGATGTTTTCTTATGTTGCCAAAAAGTCTGATTTTCCACCAAAAAAGGTTTTGATGGAAAACTCCTAATGCATCCAGCTTGCTGCGTGGTTGAAAGACACCGGCTTTGGAAACACCATTGGGTCTCAAGACATAGTTAGCTCTCCGGTTCATAGGTATATGGTCTACCTCGACCGTTATTGGCAGTGTTCGTTATTTGTATTACGGTGATCTCGGGTGAATGTGCACATAGTTCAGGCAATCACATTTCTTCTGTAATTGTCCTTGATGTAGGTATGATTTGGGATTGAGCAAAAGTGCATCTTCTGGGAAGAGGCAGACAAGGTTCCTTGGGTGAATTTGATATCTTTTATTAGACCAACCCAAATAGTTGGAGAATAGTTATTAAGCAAGCTTTCGGGTTCAAAAACCCTTCGTCAGGCTCAGGAAGCTTCAGCAGTTGGTGTGTCTTCTGGGAAGAGACAGCCCAGTGTGACTTGGGCCCTGCGAGCAGTAGATACTATACAGAATATCGTGGCAAGTTGCTCCAATGGCTAATTACGCCCCTCGTTAAAATTTGTGTCGTTTCCAGTTTGAATTTTATTGCCTTCAGCTTCCAGCCCCTGGACCTTAGTTATGTCCTTGTCTGGTAGATGAAACGTTTTTTAAAACCGCTATTCAGCAGATGTGAAACATGGGGATGTTTCGGTCCAAAAGCAGAGGATTTTGGAAATGTTCCGAGCGAGTGAAAGGTGGGATTCCCCCTGAAAACCTGCCTGGCAGCCTTCGGCCCTGTGGAAGCAGGATAAATAGCACAGAGGAACTATTTTAACCAGATTGGAAAAGGGATTGGACATGTTTTTGGAGGAAAGGGGTGTCTGTATCTAGTAAGCATGGGGGTGAGGGGCACGGCCTCTGCATCAGACCTTCCTGGACCTTCGATGCTGGAGGCTGCAAGTGGGAGAGAAGCCCTGGTAAGACCCTGCTCGCTGTCCCTGTCAGCCTCCGCTCCCTGCTGTCGTGTGTCAGGAGACCGGGCAAGCCGGACCAAGGGTCTGACCCAGTACACGGCAGCTCTGATGTTCTTTGACTAATTTCATATGTTTGTATCTCGCTTTCTGAGTGATTTAGGAACCAGCATCCAGTGGCCAAGGGTGCCTTGGTCATCCATGAGCCCAAATCCCACTGGTCTGCAGTGAGCACCTGGTGTGACCCCACCGGGAGGGATGCACACGGTCCTGCGGTGTTTGCAAGCTCCGCTGTGTGCACCAGGGCAGCCGGGCGGTGGAGCAGGAGGGAGGGCGGCAGATGGTCACAGGACTCCAGGGTTGGTGCAGACTTGGGGAGGGGTTGTTGCCTTGATATGCTGCCTCGGTTTCCTTTGCTTTCAGGGGCAAAAAGATGGGCTGGTGAGGCTTACCGTTCCCTTAACTAAATTGCTTTGTGCAGGACTTCGACTGAATGCCACACGACACATCTTTGCATGTGCCTTCAGAGACGGCAGCCAGGCCGGCACGGGGGTGACACGCAGCCCCCACGACACACGTGTGTATTGGTGTTGGTCCTTGCATGTGCCTTCAGAGATGGTGGCCAGGCTGACATGGGGACGTGACACACCTGTATGGGTGTGGGTTCATGGATGCTGCCAGCCTGAGATGCCTGGTTTTAGCTAATATCGTGTCCCCACTGGTGATGTAACTAATATCAATAACTCATCCTCGGACTTCAAACGTGGCCCATGAGATGCATGGCGGGGGATTGCAGTTCGTCTTAGCACACGGGTTGTCCATCCTGTCCCTCCCTCGTGCCTCCCTGGGGGTTGTGCCTCCCTGTCCCTCCCTCGTGTCTGACAGCTCTGTTGCAGAGGCGGATGTGGACGTGAGCTCTGGATCCAGGCTCCGGAGAGATGCAGCCCCTGCTCCCACCTCCAGCCTGAGCCCGAAGCAGAACGCAAAGTCCAGGCTGTGAAGGCCCAGCTCCCATCAGCCCCTCGCCAGGTAAATCAGGGTTGTCATTCCCATGGGGGCAAACTGAGGCACGGGGAGGTTTGATGGACCACGGGAGCAGCCTGGGATAAACCACAGCATCTTGCCTTCCAGGTCTCTGCACCAGTGACTGGATTATGACTCACCTTGCCCTTGCCCCGCCATTTGGATGTACAGTCACAATCATGTGGTTTAAGCAGCATCCCCCCCACCCACCCCATGCAGGATGCGGTGCTCTGTGATGGGAACAGATTAAACACCGTTATCACGCTGATGAGGTCACCCTGCATCCCACATATTCCACTAGGATCCTCCTGTCTCCCAGGGGAGTCTGGGGTTTAGGTGCCTGTTATAGTCACCCTGACCTAGTCCTTCCCACAGAGCTGCAGGAAAATCCCTGCTCAGCCCAAAGCGCAGAGGCTGGCCCTTTGAGCTAAAGGAGGAGCTTCACTAGCCGGTAGCTGTAGTAGGTTCTTATCCTCATCGCTGGCCAAGCTGCTGGAGGGGAGAGATGGCCCATCTGCATATTCAGTTTAGCCTTTGCACGTACTCGCCTGTGGGCACACACTAGGTGCAGAGGCCAGGGAGGGTGTTCAGCAAGTCCTAATATTGGGACATACAGTTTCCAGGATATAGCACCTGAGAGAGAATCCGCACACACCACACATGCATGCATGCACACACATGCACACACACAGGAACATGTGCACACATACACGCACATGCATGCCGATATATATGCATACCCACACAGGTATGGGCACACGTGCATGTGCATGTATATGTACACCCACGCAGTTATGGGTGCATGCATGCATACACGCACATGCGTACAACTATATACCTACACCCACACACAGCCCATACTGAGGACAGGAAATCAGGGTTGCATCAGCCTCACGATTGTAAGGGGAGCGGCTGTAGGGTTGCGGCAGGGCCTGGTTTCCTCCTGTCCTGAAGGCCTGGTGCCCTGGGTAGCTGCAGCCCCGGCCTTGCCAGTTAAACCCATTTCCCTTCTCTCAGGGACACAACGAGCACTGTCGTTTCCCGTAAGGACACACGGCAGGTTCAGAGTCACGCCCTCCCCTCCCCAGTCCGGCTGCTGCCTCATGCAGGGCGTTGAGGGATTGCCGCTGGACGTTCCCCGCGAAGCCAAGTGCGCACTTGGTAGCGAGCAATAAACATAACTCCTGTCTGTCCAAACACAGGCGTGCACCCGCTGCACCCGGCTCCTTCCTGGCTGCGCGGTGACACAGACCAGCTGCTCTGGGCAGGCCAGGCCGGCAGGACATGGACAGGGAGAAAGGGGAGATGGAGTCAGGGTGAGCGATGAGCAGCACCTCGTCCCCGCTCTCTGCTGCATGCACCCATTCCCCCGCCGGGGCGAGGATGTTATTTATGGCGCTGTCTCCGGCTGACGGCACTCGCTGCATGGGTCGGCCGGGCGGTGCCACCATCAGTAACTTTTACAAATGGTCCTTCTTAGGGCAGAAGGCAGAGAGGCGGCAGGGAGATGAGTGGCACCAGGGAGCCAGCCCAGATGGAGCCCCTCACAGCCGCGCGGTGATGGATGAGGAAGACTGGGCATGGAGAAAATGAAGCCTTCTTCTGTCCCTTTCTTACCTTGAGGCGGTCTGTGCTTTCAGGATCCCTTTGTGAGATGGTGGGAGCCCTTGGCATGGTCAGTTGGGGTCTCGTGTCACCCAAGCCCTCTTCCAGGTGAGCTGGGTTGGTCACATCCCAGCTCTGTGCCTCAGTTTCCCCATCTGCAAATGGCCCCTGTCTGTGCAACACTGCTCAGTGCGACTCCGCATTGCATCCAAAGCCCGTTGGGATCAATCGCTCTGTGCCTGGCCCTGGAGGCTGGGGTTTGGTGCTTTGCTGAATCAGGGCCCAAGAGAGGGATTTCTGCATGGGGGAGAAAGGTGACCTGGAAGGAAGAAGGGGCCAGAGGAAGGAGCAAAGCCTTGTGACCCACTAGAGCATATGGGTTGGACAATATATGCTGATGGCAACAGTCCTGCTGAGCTCCACCAGGCCACGACTGCACCATCATCCAGATCCCAGGATGCCGGGGCAGGGGTGATGGAGGAGGAGGACTGTTCACCTCCTGAGGACATGAAGCCTAATCCCAGTGCATGGGAAAGCCAGTAGCAGGTCTCTTCTCTCGGGCCTTGGACATGGGTGATGGTGAGAGACTGCAGCACAGATGCAAACTCCCTCCCGGGGAAAGGCTTTCCCTTCTCCGTGGGGCTGAGTCCCGCCAGCGCTCCCTGGAGCCATCGGGCATCTTGTGTGCAGAGCTCTCCCCTTTAGCGTTTTGGCCTAGAGGGAATATTCACAGCTGCTTTCAACGCCTCGACAGGAAAGATTGGCTTTAAACTCCGGCAGCTCTCAGTCAGCGAATGGTGCAGCCATGGTATTTAATGCCCAACATTTGGGTGGGAGAAACATGTTTCCAGAGTGGTTCTCCTGCTCAGGGCAGATCTGTGGCAAGGCAGACCGTGCCGGTGACTTGTTCGGAGAGCGGGGTGCTCTGCGTTGGGCTCTTGTGCTGCAGAAGTGGTGGCACAGGCTGGGAGACGGCCTGATCCTCGTGCGGGTCCAGCCCTGGCTGGCCGGGCATTGCCATCACTGCTCTACTCCTATGGCCATGCAAGGGCAAGAGGTTTCCTTGGTCTCTATGGCCCGGCCAGATCTCTGCCTCTCTGCCAGGACTATGAGCAAGAGGGGGCAGGCAGCCGTGGTAATACAGATGCAGACGTCAAACCCATCAAATCCTACCAAGGAGCCCCCAGTGGGAATGGCTGCTAGTTTCTGTGGACACGGGACAGTTTAGACCAGGGGATCTAGGGATCGAAAGCAGCAGGGTCCATTATTCTGGGCTGTCCACTGTCATGACCTTGGATTTTCTAACCGTGGGCATGACCGCATGGCTCAAGCCGTACCGCTCAGGAAGGTGATGGGGACACGGACGCTGCCTGTTTGCTTCATAAAAAGGAGAGATTCTCTGTTCCCAGCTCCAGGTTTCCTTTCTGCAGTGCAATGGGGATGCTCCAGTTTGAGAGCTGAACTGGAACCCAAGGGCTCGACCTGCGCTGGGCAAACCGAGGTATTTGTCATCGCCTCTGCAAGGGAAGCGCCTAAACCCAGGGCCCTCTCATTTCAGCCCTTCATCCCTCTCCGCTGGAGGATTGGGTTGCCCAGAGCCCAGAACCGCTCAGCTTGGAGCAATAGGTCACCGGTTGCGGACACCTTTCCTGACACTAAAACTCGAAATGTCGACGGTGTTTCAAATTTGGGGTGAACACCTTTCAGACTGCATCGTTCAACGACACGTCCATCGTGCTCCTCTCCAGTCCCGAGACGTCAGCCAGCCACCGAGCTGGCCGAACTTTCCAAGTGTGGGGGAGCTTCAATGAGGAGACCCCCGTGGCCTACACCGGCCAGCATCTCCCAGCCCAGACAAGCAGCTTGCCTCTGTCCAGTTGTTTTTCCCAGCTTTCCCTTGCAGATCTCTCTCCTCCCATCTGCCTGCTAATAAATTACAAAGTGTAAACAATTAGCCATAAACCAGGTCCATCCCGCCCAGACCTCCTGCAGCCCTTGCTCTCACTCCTTGCCACGGCCTGTAGCCCCGGGGAGGATTTTTTTTGCCCCCCGGCAGCTGGGACCATTTTGTCCCAGTTCAGGAGAGCGAGCCGGGAGCTGGCAGGGCTCCAGCTCGGACAGTGCGGTGACACGGTCCTTTCCCAGAAGATGAATGGCGGCCAGTTTTTCTTAATCCAGCCACTTCGGAAAAATTGTTTGTTCTCATCCTGTTTGAAACAGCTTCAAAGTGGCTCCAAGTCTAGACTGTGCCAAGATAAATTACAAACCCAAAGAGCTGATATAAACCATGGGGGAACTAGTCATTTGCCCTGATGTAATTAAAACAAGATAGAATAATGTATGTAAGTATGTATATGGGCCCGCGCTCCCGGCGGGAAGGTGGGGAAGGAAAGCAAACTCTGCTGGGAAGCTCCTGTATTACTCAAATAATGAGGGCTGAGATTTTTCCAGGGGCTCTTTTGTGATTTAAAAAGTATTCTTTAAAGCTGGGTGGAGCTTGGGATTATTAATTAGGATCACGTCCCTTCCCACAGTTTTGGCCAGCCAATCAGACCATGGGGGCAGGTAAGGTTGCCTTGCATTAGATATAAAAAGAATAAGAAAAATAGCAGGAAAAGGCTGGTGATGGTTGGAGCAATGCAAAGCAGATGGTACCGCACTGCGGTAAAATGCTAGCAGCCAGGAAGCGAGATTGTGGCACTCCTAGGAGAAGAGCAGGGCTGCA